ATATATATTTCTTTTAATGGTAAATATTCATCATTAACTTTACTTTCTCATGCCAAGAACACTGGAAATCACATTTCCAAGCTTCTAAATTTAAAATTTTTCTGGGGGGGGGCATGCCCCCAGACCCCCCTAGAAACGGTGGCCTTCGGCCACCTAAATAGTCACAGCTGCCTACTATTATATGGGCAGACACCTACTTCAAATCTTATTGAAAGCCCTGCCTTCTCGCAAGACGAGACTCTCGTCTCAAGAGGAGACTTTTGTCTCATGAGACGAGAGTCTCATCTCGTGAGAGTTTTAAAAAACTGTAAGTACAGCTGCTTGAACTTCTCGCAAGATTTCAATAGCCTATTGTAAAGCAAACAATGCAGCAACAACGCAGCAAAACTTTGCACGATCTGACGAAGCTTTGCTTGCGAGCGCCGGCGCCAGATTTCCAATGTTTACCATGTTCAGAAAAGATGTAACTCCAGAAATTTCAACCCACGTGGCTTGAGAATGGTATCTGTGAATATATACGCTGCACATTTTTCAGTTTTCAAGCGAAAACATATCGTTTATGACTTTTGCGGTGTCCAGACCTGTACACTGAAATTGCTTCTTTTGCTAATCAATCCCAGTGGCTTCTTTTGCCAAGCAAACGCCAGGATTAATGAAGTCATTAACTTCATATCAGTAGAAAGGTGCTGTATACATGAGAGAAAGGTTAACAGTGTCATGTTTAAAAGCAAACACGGACCGTTCAGGACCGTTCTTGGCGTTTGAGCAGTTCACAATTTTCATAACTGTGTTTCCATCGCTGTTCAACGCACGTTACTAACTTTGCAGTTAAGCAAGTTCTGTGACAGCTTATCTTGCAGCATTTGCTATTAAAAACTCCAATAAAGCCATTTTGTTTTTGAAACGCTTCTCTTTGTTTGTAGGGTTCTCCGAAGGTCTTTTATNACAGCTTATCTTGCAGCATTTGCTATTAAAAACTCCAATAAAGCCATTTTGTTTTTGAAACGCTTCTCTTTGTTTGTAGGGTTCTCCGAAGGTCTTTTATCGATCAATGTACATGTAGGCGAGTTCAACATCAACACAACTAATTTGACCAAAAGATCGCAATCTTTCCATCAATCGCTCAACAAACTTTGACTTTCTTGGTAAGCCCGTTTAACAAGGAAATTAAGATCAACATAATTTTAAGTATTCAAACTGACGTCTTCTGCATTCCATTTCATGTTCCAATTCTTTGGACACTTCTGCCATGTGCATTTGTTATTTTAGCAAAAGCCGTGTTAAGTCACGTTTTCAATTTGTTATATAATCAAAAATTCACTTCCTTTCTCGTTGTCAGACGAAACATGTACAGACTTACCGAAGTTCTCTTTGCCGTGGTTAAAACTTCGATTTTTAAGATTGTTTACATTTGCAATTTTATTGGTGAAAACAACGGTTTTACGATTCAAAAGCGAGTTCAAAGGACACACACACTTATGCAAATTCACTACTTTACCGACTAAAAATAATCCAGAAACTATTGACACTTTACTCATCGATTACTCAAGTACTTTCACCAACGTCTTGATTTGAGAATGAAAACAATGTTTCCATTCAGTTTCTCCATTTGCGATGATACTATTGGGTCTTGTGAGGCAAGTTTCCACTTAAAAGCTGTCATTCATATTTACGCAAAGTCAACATGCTGCAATGAAATAATTAAAGCGACCGCCAAACTTGAGTTTTGGCGAACGTCTTTGACGTTCAATTTTCATCACTTTCACTTAAGTTTTTTGCTTGGAAGTTAAAGTTGGCTCCCTTGAAGCGGCGTGTAAAACAAGAGCCTGCAAAACCAAATGCTCTCATGAGGCAAACTTCACCGCGTCGCGAGAAATTAATCGTTTTCTTGCAAGCTAACAGCCTGTAATTTATTCCAAAATACACGCTTCAATGGTTCTCGTGAGACGAGACTCTTGTCTCTCGAGACGAGACTCTCCTCTCACGAGGCGAGACTCTCATCTCGCGAGACGAGAGTCTTGTCTTGCGAGAAACGAGACGAGAGGTGGTAACTTACTTTTGAGCAGTACTGTATTTATACTCCTGGAGGTCTGTCACATGTCATCTTGTCCTCAAAGTGACATACATTTAACAAATTGACATCAGTTTTTCATGCGTCTGTCCTGTTCTTGATCATGAATTTCGTCATAACATTGTCAAAGTAGCTGTGGATCCATGAGGCAATAGCCGAGTGGATCTGAAGACTACTTTGACAATGTTATGACGAAATTCATTGTCAATAACAGGACACGCATTAAAAACTGACATCAATTTGTTTTTTACAATAACAAATTGTCAAATTGTCCGCTCTCACTCATTGACGCATTGCATAAATTATAAATTCATGTGTCTGTCCGCTTACTGACAATAAAAGTTAGCCAATGAGCACGTGAGAATTTCTGCAGTTATCATAAAAACATACATACACCGCTTCAAGATCAGCCTCTAGCTTACTGGTCTTGCGTAAGACCACAAAAATACGGTAAGCAACACTACGGTCCACCACGGTCCGTAGTATCGTGAATGATTATGTTTTGTTTGCTACAATTGTCCATAGTCTCGCAGTGGATAAATGGTCGTAAATAAGAATAACTATGGGAAAGGAAAGAACCGGTAATTAGAGACTAAACTACGATAAACTAGGCAATGATGAGTTACCTACCGCATCCATTAGGTCCGATGATAGCTGTAAAACGCTTGAACGGTCCAATAGTTTGTTTTCCCTTGTAAGACTTGAAATTCTCCAACTCCAGCCGCTGAAGATATCCCATTTCCACGATACGTTTCTACGACTGGCGATTCCACAGTCTTTAGTTATGCTCACCTTTCTGGGAAATACGTTAACAGCAACAAATAAAACCAGAGTACAATTTAAGCTTACTGAGGTTTTGTTTTGATCCCTTTTCCGTAAGATATGTTTCTCACCGCCAGCAAAAAAGGGCACAAGTACACAACCCCACTCTATAACTTTGGCGCGAAATGAGGCTTAGAGCGAACACTTGCGCATGCACAGCTGTTGAGCAGTCGCTGAAGCATGTAACCTTGTAGGGAGGAGAATACTAAAAAACATCTGGTGAGGGTCGAGGGGAAACTACATGTAATAGGCACGGCGGAAAAACCGCTGATTGGCTGAAAAATCCGTTGTCTTGGAGCATGCTCAAGCGCTCGCCG